GACACAAATGAAAAACATTTAATATTCCGCACTACTTCGTAACGTTTTCACGACGTTATTGGTCTTCCTCCAACTTCAAATGGGACTGCTAGCTTGAGCGTTTGCGAGATCTGTTTCGCTTTTTGTCTTTTTTTACATTCCGAAAAAGGTCATGGTTCGTGGTCATAAATTTGTTATTCTCGGTAACCAAGAATAATCGAGAGAGACTCGTGTCGATTCTTTGAAGTCACCCGAACGTAAAAAAGGACAAAGAGCAAAAAAGACCTCACAACATTCAAGCTGGCAGTCCTATTTGAAGTTGGCAAGGAAGGCCAATAATGTCGTGAAAACATTACGAAGTACAGTAAAAGCTGGATATATGCAACAAAAGTTTGGCTGGATATATGCAACATCGCTATCCCCTCCACTTGGGGGGATCCCCCTAAATCGAACCGAGCCGCTCGGCGAGGAAACCGTGTAATACGATCCGACCGTAATATCGGTGTGACTAATACTAATTGAACGGTAAAACTTTTTTATTTTTAACTTTTTCTTAATGAAACTTTTACAAACGCATTTGTGAGATTTTTCTGATTAAAATGGTACCAAACACGATATGATTTGAATTATATTTATTTATTAAAATAATAATAAAACTGTACATATGTATAAGGCAGGCCGTACACCAAAGATACATCAAACACGCAACATGCAACATGCAACACGTCGCATGTTGTGTACGAACGTAGAGTAGGTATCGCGGCACGGTACAAACGATTTGTACGGACGCAGAATCGATACCAAGACTGGATATATGCAACGTTTAAATGCCCAGAATCGACACCTCGGCTGGATATATGCAACATTAAATGCCCAGAATCGACACCTCGGCTGGATATACAGGGTGTCCCAGAACTGGGGTAGGAACGGAAGAGGAATGATTGATGAGGTCATTCTAAACAACTTTTTCCTTTGCCAAAATGTTGGTTAAGGCTTCGTTTTCGAGTTATTAACGAAAAACACTGGCCAATCAGAGCGCGCCGTTAGCGCGGGCCGAACCACGAGAGTGTTGGGTATGTTCCGCGCGGTCGTGATCAAGTGCCTCGGCACTACGTCGGGATGATGGGATTCGTTGAGTAGAAGTTGCATCGGATAATGAATAAAAAGAAGAAAAGAATAATTGTATCGAATTATTGATTACTCATGAACAACGAATCCTATTACACCGACGTGGTGCCGATGCACTTGATCATGACCGCGCGGAACATACCCAACACTCTCGTGGTTCGGCCCGCGCTAACGGCGCGCTCTGATTGGCCAGTGTTTTTCGATAATAACTCGAAAACGAAGCCTTAACCAACATTTTGGCAAAGGAAAAAGTTGTTTAGAATGACCTCACCAATCATCCCTCTTCCGTTCCTACCCCAGTTCTGGGACACCCTGTATGCAACATTAAATGCCCAGAATCGACACCTCGGCTGGATACATGCAACGTTTGAAACCCGAGCCGACACCGCAACCGGTTTTCATTTCCAATCCTCCTTTGCTTTTCGCCAACTTTTAACATCAATTTTAGCAAGTAATTATAATTCAAACTATATCATGTTTGGTACCACTTTAATCACAAAAATCTCACCAATGCGCTAGTACAAGTTTCATTAAAAAAAAGTCAAAAATAAAAAAGTTTGTTGATTCAATTAGTATTAGTCACACCGATACGTTTCGGCTCTTTCCTTTGATTATCGGACCTCTCTCTTTCTGCCACTGTCTGTCCTTTTCTACGTTCACGCTTGGCTGCTCGTCGCGTGTAACCCGAGATTCGACACCTCGACTGGATATATGCAACGTCTGGGTCCCAATGTTTGTTGCATATATCCAGCTTTTACTGTAGTGCGGAATATTACATATTTTTTATTTGTGTCCAGTGCAATATCAACACAGAATGTGATTTCGTTGTCACCTACAATCCTTTCGTCTTGTTTACTATTACCCATGACGCAGGTGTTGTTGTCTTCTGGTTCTCTAATTTGCTGATTCCGTTCTGTATAGTTTCCTCTTCTAACAAGCTGGTATCCTCTTCCTTGCCCTCTCTTGTTTCTTTGGTGCTGATTCTAGTCCTATTGTAGCATATACACGGCTAATTCCCCTAGCTTGACCTCTTCTCGGCTAGCTTCTAGCTACCTTCGTTAGCCTTCCAGGATATTCATATTTCTTAAACTCCTCTGGTTGCCACTTTTTACAATCCTTTTTAAAATGTCCACATTCTCCACAACCACACCATACTCCATGCTTGTTCGTTGAGAAAGCAGCAGACTCCAATCCTGCCTTAGCGTTATTTATTAATCTTCCAATTCTCTTTTCAGCTTCAGCTCTTAACTTTGATTTCACCATGTTAAGCGTGAGAGTTTCCGTTGGCATATTCTCCAACATTGTCACCACCGTTTCATATGACTTTGGTAGAGAGAGGAGCAAATTACATATGACAATTTCTTCTTTGACTTCTACACCGGATGCTTGGCTGATTCAGTACTTCTTCAAATTTTATAACGAATTCTTCCAGACTTTCGTCTTCACTTACAATTAGTTTCATCGCCATTAATTTTCTTTTCAAGAACAGTTGCCCTGGTAAACAATTCTTTTTAATATGCTTCTTTCAGACTTTCCTCTAATCAAATCTAACTGGCTGTTGTCTACACTTTGAACAATAATCGATTTGCACTTGTTATCCTTTTTCCTTGCTTCTTCCCGTTTCTCAACTTCTGCGTAGTCCGCATCTTTATATTCTTCTTCAATCATTTCTATCACCCCTCGTTCAGTCATTATAGTTTCGACTCTGAATTTCCAGGCATGATAATTATTTCTCACTAAGGGATCAATGTTGAAATAACTTTTAATATTTACAGCCATTTCTCGAATCTTCTCTTGCACGTGTTTAACCTCAATTTGTTTTCTAATCTACTTGAATCAGGCCTCCTGAGCCCATAACCTGTTGTAATTTGGGGTTTAAATAATTCCACCATGGGCTTTCTTAATGTATATATGTATATATTTGGTTGTAGCCAATAAATAAAAAATAAAAATGTTTATAATAATACTTCGCTCTGCTTCTCATTTGCTTCCACACTCTCTACACGCACGCTTTCTATACAAGGTTCATACTCTCCTCAGATGGCACCACAATTCAACACACCCATATGTACCAACATAAGAAAAGCATTACTCTTTCCAACACACTTGAATATTTTTACATATGATTTATACAAATTTCGGCCATAAAAAAATTAGGCATAACTTTTAAACGAAACTGTTCGAACGAACTATTATGATATAATAAATATGACAGAAAGTATAAATTATCAAATATGTTGCAACGGTGGATTGAGAAAGCAGTAAAGCAAATAAATAGCCTGAAGCTTATTTTATTGTCTATAGGAATTCTTAAACTGTATCGCTTGCCCTGCATATGACGCTTGCTCGTGGCTAACTAACTAAACGCGCAACGGTCGCAGGTTAGTGTGAAGCGCTGCGCAAAAGAAAAAGGAGAGAGAAAGAGAGACAGCAGAACAAACGTTGCTTTCGTCTCCCTCTATACTGAAAGAAGCATGAAAAGATCATCCTCAGCAGAATATTTTAATGCATGTTGCTATGAGATTAATAGTCTTTAAGATGAATGAAGTTTATTTTAGGAATTAGAAGAATTCGTCAAAACAATTGAGGATGATTTCCATTCTTTATCTAATTGTAAGTCTAACTAAGAAAATAAACATTTATGAGGTATCGGACAAAATAACTTCAAATCTATAAATGTTGCAAAATGCACTATTTTGTGTAAAACCAATGTCAATGGAAAACAAGAGAAATTTTTCTATTTCTGGAATTTCTCTGTCCACACACAAGATCTTTATTGCAGATAATAATTTGTAGATATGAAAAGTTTATTGTAATAAAACCTGTCAATTATTGTAAAGCAAATACTATTATTTTTTTAGCATGACTAAAATGCAAACTAACTTTCAGATATGTTGCAGGCAAAGTGTGAAATAAAGGTAATGCATACATTACCTAGGAAATGTATAAATTCCCTAAACTGCTTTAGTCAAAGTATTAAGGGGGTAGACTCAGGTAATGTAGCGAAATGACATTACTAGTATAAACGGGCTTAAAACGGGATTTACGGAAATACACTTTTCGTCTTTATATGAGAAGATTTTGAGCTGAATAAGGGTTCATTCGAAAGAGGAAGGTTCAATGCAGGGCGGTTTGGTTATGGTTTAACGAGATTGTGTTGGTATCTAAATAATATAAGTGTCCAAAGTAGAGCAAAAGTTGACAAAATACACTCGCAGAATCCAAGTATTTTTGTCACTAAAAGAGTTTTGTCATACAAGCTGTGACCAGACCGCCCTGCATTGAACCTTCCTCTTTCGAATGAACCCTTATTCAGTTCAAGATCTTCTCATATAAGGACGAAAAGTGTATTCCCGTAAACCCCTTTATAGGCCCATTTTTGCCTGTTAGAAATCGGTCAAAAAAAATGATTGAGTTTAAGACGCGTATTCAAGTGTGGTTCTGGGGTAAGTGCCATGCCGTTCCTCATGGTCCTCCTACCAGAAGATGCAAGATCTTCCCCACTCTGTGGCCAGATCCTTCTAGAACACCCTTATCTTTTTACACGTGTCATGCAGCACCATGACTTCGGGTCATCGACCACACGCGCGTTCCTTCGAGGATCGGCGATCGAACTCTCTATCGCCGTTCCATAAACAAAACATCCGCGACTCTTAGAATTCGTCGCACCTCAAGTATCAACTACCGCCGGCCTAAGTCCGATGACAGATGTATGGCTCGGGGTATCGATAGCTTAAAGAATCCTGAGAAATCCTTGAAAAGCAGGTCAAAGCCCCAAATGTATTGACCCTGCCACGTGTCAACCCCTGCACACGTGCTGACGCTAACATGCCGGTAATGTCACCTCGCTGGTGTCTACCCCCTTAACAATAACTGGAATAATAGACTACATATCAACACCACATTTTTTATTAATAATCCGTTTCTGTATATATTATTTCTTCATTTACTTAGAATTTATTTGAAATATGGTGAAGACATTTAATTAGTGCAAGCATCTATTCTTTGATTATGTCCTGCAGTAAATCAAATTATTTTCTCTTGCATGGATGAAGTTATATTATATCTTTCAAGATGTCTGCATCCCACGCATACCAAACGACTGTTTATGTAAAACAATTTGTTTAAATATTTTCCATCTACAGTTAGTGGTATAGTTGATAGTAAACTGTTTAACCACAATTAACATTACCGATTAACTGAAAAATGTTTATTATAAATAATCATTTATTTGACTAAATTATTTGCTTTAAATCAAATTACTAATTCTTAAATGAAAAACTATAAAAACTTACCTACCGTAATTTACAATTGCAACATTTACAATTCTGTCGACGTGCATGATTACTCCACTGTCGACGTAACTCAAAAAAATTATTAACCCACTTGCAACTTGGTTTAGGTGGTGTATTACAGTTCCACATTATTTCTTCAGCACACTGACAAGGTTCTAGGCATGTATTTGGAGCGGGATTAGTAGATGCAAAACTACTGCAATCAGTAGGAACGAAACATTTTTCGTTATTTCGACAGAAACAAAAATGGATTCCAGGATTGAATACTACATGTTTCTTCATATCAATGTCATCATTATTCGCTATATTAAAAATTAAATTATGGTAAGATTAGCAATGGTAAGAGGGCAAATTTATGATAAAGGAGAAGGTACGAATATAAGATACCAAGATTTTAACCCCTACGCAGTATTATCAATGATTAACAATGATTAACACTTTTAACAATGATTATATATCAAGTATTACGACGAGCAAAATACTCTCTCGTAACAACTATTCTTGATATGTATTGAGATTTGGTTGCTTTCATATATCACGGTTGGTACTGAATGACCGTTATAGAAGAACGGAAGCGTAAAAAAAAAGAATGAAGCATTGTGAAAAAATGCGTAATAGGAGAAACACGTATCAGAATGTGTCTTGAGTTTATCTATGTGTTCTTATCTGTATTGTTTCCTTAAATCATTATGTATACAGTGATATATCACTATATAAAATTTGTATTTAGTTTTTTATATAATAATAGTTTGTAGACTTCTAATAAAATAAAATATACAGGGTGTCCCAGAACTCATTTTCACCCAGTGAAGGGGTGGTAGCTGCGGTGGTTCTGAACAACTTTTTCCTTTGCGAAAAATTTGTTTGAAGCTTCGTTTATGAATTATTAAGGAAAAACACTGATCAATCCGAGCGCATATAGCGCGCGGGCTCAGGGACGACAGCGTCGGCTACAAAAGCGGGGCTTCACGTAGATCGCGAACGAATGGTTCGGCACCCCGTTGGCATAGCACAATAAAAAAATTGAACTGGTTGAACATTTTTAGTCGTTGTTTAAAATGAATACGGAACCTAATTTCTTGTCGCCTGTCATAATGTAAAAAAGGAAATTCGAAGCATTCTGAACAACAAATAAAAATGATTGAAATGGAGTAATTAATAAACATTTGAATTGGAGGCTACATTAATGATGAAAAATTAGAAAACAATTTAAATGAAACTTACCCATTCGTTCCTAAATTAACCTGCTATGCTGAAAACAGATAATTCTCACTGGGTCACTGTGTCGATCCTAAACATTCGAGGAGGGAACAAATTTCGAAGTTGTAGGAGAGAAAAAGGCGTTTCATCTCGGGATCGTCTGTCAGACTCGTCAGTGGGGCTGACAACAGACGATCCCTGCCACAGACACCTATCGTACCGCTATTCGGAACTTATACATACATGTATAATATATCCGAACGGCATGCCGGGCGAGCGCTAGCGAGAGGCTCCGTTCAATCTCGCCGCTATCCAGCGCTCCCCGACCCGAACTCACGACGTCCGGGGATACGAAACTCTCTCTCCTCCACTAAACGCCTACAAAGAACAGCTAATCTCCAGACGAGATCATTGAACCCACTCAACCACACGGTCCTTTCACAGAATTTTCGTTCATGTAAATAAACATTTTTATTCACTGTTACGTTGCACAGATGAAAAACATGTAATATTCCGCACTACTTCGTAACGTTTTCACGACATAATTGGTCTCCCTTTCCAACTTCAAATAGGACTGTCAGCTTGATTGTTGGGAGGTCTTTTTCACTCTTTGTCCTTTTCTACGTTCGGTGACTTAAAAGGGTCGACACGAGTCTCCCTTGGTGACTCTTGGTTATCGAGAATAACAAAATGATCACGAACCATGGCCTAGTTCTGAATGTAGAAAAAGACAAAAAGCGAAGTAGATCTCGCAGACTCTCAAGCTAGCAGTGCCATTTGAAGTTGGAAAGGAAGACCAATAACATCGTGAAAATGTTACGAAGTAGTGCGGAATATTATATGTATTTCATGTTTCCAGTGCAATAGCAACATGACAGTGAATAAAAATGTTTATTTACCTGAATGAAACTTCTGTGAAAGGTGATAGTGACCATGTAGTTGAGTAGGCTCAATGATCTCGTCTGGAGATCAGCTGTTCTTCATAATTTGTTCCCTTCTCGAATGTTCAGGATCGACACAGTGACCCAGTGGGAATTATCTGGTTTCAGTATAGCAGATCAATTTAGGAACGAACAGGTAAGTTTTATTTAAATTGTTTTCAAATTTATATTGATTATTCCATTTCAAACATTTTTATATGCTGTTTACAATGTTTAGAATTTTCTTTTTTACATAATGACAGACGATAAGAGATTAGGTTGTGTATTCATTCTAAACAACGACTAAAAATGTTCAACCAGTTCAATTTTTTTATTGTACTATACCGACGCGGTGCCGAACCGATCGTTCGGGACCTACGTCAAGCCCCGCTTTCGCAGCCAACGCTGCCATCCCTGAGTCCGCGCAGTATACGCTCTCTGATTCGCCAGTATTTTTCCTTAATAATTCAAAAACGAAGCTTCCAAAGCTTTTCCTTTCGCAAAGGAAAATGTTGTTCAGAATCACCCCAGTTACCACCCCTTCACGGGATCCACGCGAGTTCTGAAACACCCTATATATGAAGTCCATAGAGATAATCCCGCAAGAGGCATTTATAAGAACAGCAAATGGCGATACATTTGTCACGTCCTGGTGGAAAATTAAAAATTTGTCCACCTTACGTTCCCTTATCAAGCTTTCGGGTTTCGATAGTCTTATCCATATAAGGGGCGTAAGGGGGATATCTTTACTCTTTTCTTCAATTAATCGTTTTCTCCTCGACCTTGTGCCTCCTCATCAAGCCTTCGGGTTTTGGTGCTCCCCATGTGAGGATGTACAAGGAAGAGTTTGAGCTGTTACGTGGCCGAAGGCTAGGCAGCGCGTGTGGCTAGCGGAGGCTTTCAGGAGAGAGGCCGCGTAACTTATATTATTTAATGTCAATACAACCCAAGCGGTTAGATTGTATTGTTGTGGGAACTGTCACTAGTTTCACTGGGTTTAAAGAAAGATGCTAATGTGGGGTTGACACAGCAATGTATTTTAGAATCTCAGTCTATTACAATTGTTCTTGTCGCGTGTATAGGTGTGTAATGTGCATATTACCTACCTCCGTTGTATGTTCAGTTTTGACGCACTGGCAATGCGGGGTGTCGTGTGTGGCTGATCGGAAATGTCAAATAGAACACTGACTCGATTCGCGGATTCTATAAGGTTAAACTTTGCTCGAAATGGACTTCAACCCGATCTCACTAAACAGCAACCAGCTCACGTTCGTACTCGAAGTTCTCAACACAAGATGACTTTTGGTACTGACCGAAGATCGTTGGTACAAACGGGTTTATATACTAATGAGAAAGGGTGATCTGGTTATTATTCAGATGATCGGGCGGGGCCCATCTGTTTCGGTGACGGTTTAGAGTGGTTGCATCTGTTGTGCGATTACGATGGACCCATTGCTTTCCCAAAACATTTGGTTCTGTTATCGCTGGGCCTGCTGTTTATTTCAAGAGCAAGTGGCCTGTTTGCCTGAGAGTTTTCCTTTCCAGAAATTAAAGGTTTATTTAAAAGGAGGCATGTTTGATAAAAGTGGTCTGCCTTCGTGACAGAGCTTATAATTATTTCATTTTATAACTTTTCATCATTTGTTTCTACCTTGTGAAGCCTTTACACGGTTTCGGAGATATTCCCATGCAAGGTACGTGAGGAAGGTTATTTTTCTTTTCATCCGACTTCGAAAAGGAGGAGGATACTCAATTCGATGTGTTTTTTTTTTTCCATGTATGTTCACCGATTACGCCGAGACGGATGGACCAATCGGAACGAAACCATTTGCATCTGGTAGAGTATGTCTTCCGATTGGTCCCGTAAAAAGAATATTTTGCATTTTTTCATTCCTAACGACTTTTTTTTCTAAATGTATGTTCGCCGATTATTCCGAGACGGATGAAAGAATCGGAACAAAACCCTTTGCATCTTGTAGAGTATGTCTCCTGATTAGTCCCGTTAAAAAAACATTTTGGATTTTTTCATTGCCAAGGATTATTATTGCAAAAATCGGAAAGTTTCTAATCTAGGATGATTTCAGTGATCCTTTAATATGTTGTCGGGGGCATGATGCTGAAGAACTTTTTTATTATGCATAATCAACTGAAAGCTTTAGTTTCCGAGGTATTTGTGAAAAAGTATTGTTACTACTACATTGCATTCTACGTATGCCTATGTGTATTCTACCGCCTACTCTGGCTGTGTATGGGTCAACATACAGTCGCCTACTCTCTACTGTTTCTATACGCATATCGCGTCGCCCGAAAACCAGTATACAGGCAAGTCTCGATTAATGCTAGTTCACATAGTGCGATATTCGATTTAGTGCGAATTTTAAAATGGTACCAGGTCGCATTTAATGCAAACAAAAATTCAGTTAATGCGAGGCTTGCGAGGCTTTTGCGATCCAGAGATGCATCGAAGTATGCAAGTTAACAGAGACTTGGATAAAATACTGCCGGTTTATCATCACATATACAAACATATGAAAAAGCAGAAGAAAGTGCAATCAACACTGTTAAAATACTTTAAAAAATAATAAACATGTTTATGCTATTATAATTTAATAATATACGTATGAAAGGTATATTTCAAAATTTTGATCGTATATTTTCTTTAACTAACAAGGGACATTACCCAATCGACACACGCCGATTTTGATGCCCTTTAAGTATGATATAGAACTCAATAAAATATTTGACACATATTTTTTTTTTATCGGCCATCGTCCATGCTGAAGGGGTGAAAATACCCCCCAAAATTGGGGTTGCAAAACAGAAAATATTCTTAAATATCTCAGGAACTATTAGGTGTAGGCGAAAAATTCAAAATGGAATTTGTGTGATCTATGTAGCCATCTTTTTGATAAATTTATTTGTTTAAAAAATATATTGAAAAATAATCTATTTTTGTCATTTTTTGGGTAAAATGTTGATCTATTTTCATAAAAATTTGTACAAGTAAACTATACATCTTGACAAAGAATGCGGATAAATTGGAATTTTTAAATTCACCGTCATAGTAGATATTATTACGTTGCAAATTGTACTCGCATCTCGACTCTGCTGGCCCTTTATAGCGATGTCTACGTTTCATTTTGATATAAATTTGTGTAATATTATTCAATTAATTTACACTA